GGAAAGAAGCGAGAAAGGTCTGCAAGATTCGCAGAGGGGATGGTTTGAGAACAGAGAACAGGCAAATCCCAAATTGCATAATTTCAGCTCAGAAAAAGGGCCTTTTGAGAGGAGAAATTCCAGTCCGCTAAGAGTTTGGGGTGTACTCATACATGAAACACGATTTTAAAACCTATTCTTCATATTTCAAGATGGTTAATACATGAAGACAATGGATGCTATAGTCTTAATGGACAACCATTAGGAAACTTCGAATTAATTTTCAGAGAACCAGATAGCTAACTTTTAAACTCCTTCTCCAAATTTAGTGGTTCTCAACTAAGAGTGCTTTTGTCCCCCAGGGGACTTTTGGCAATGTCTGAGGCATTTTTGGTTGTCATAAGTGGGGTGGAGCACCTATTGGGTAAAGACCAGGGGTGTTGTCAAATATCCTATAATGCCCAGGATATCACATCACAACAAAAAAATTATTTAACCCAAAATGTTAATAGTGCTGCGATTGAGAAATTCTGTCTTTTTTTCATGTACAACTGAGTTATGAATTAGAGAATTTAAATAAAGATTTCTAAAGAAATGCTTTGAAAAGAGCTAAGTCTCCCACCCCACACTCAGGAAGAAGGGAAGGGTGGTGCCTTCCATTTAACCTTGAATCAAGAGAGAGGGGCCCCAAGGATTCTACTCAGGAAACATATGTCCCTGAAATTTGGGGATAGAGAGAGACACAACAGACTGCTTCCTTATTCATGCCTGGGAACCCAAACGGAGACGTAAGAGTTACCTTGCTGTTCTGAGAGCAGGATTGAATGGGGTACTATTGCTGTTTGGGGCAGGCCATTTGTTGCAGGAGAGGAAGGCTGCCCATTTTCCCGATGGGTCACAGGCTAGAAAGAGGTGGCACGGTGTTGTCTTAGAGCCTGCCCTGGAGAATGCATGATTCTACAAGGGGGGGTCTGGGCTGTGGATGGAGTCATAAACAACCATACAGAGAAAAGACTTTTTAAAAGTTCAAATCAAGTGGAGAAACATTAACAGAGGGGGGAAACGTTTCTTCCAATGATCTGTGAAAGCACCCAGTGAAAAAAGGAGTCACCTTTAAACATTTAACATTCTTAGGAACAGGATAGCAGCGAAATGAAACACTAAGGGAGCTTCCACTTCCCCTTCTCCCTCCTCCCTGAAGGGGTCAGAAACCTTGGTTAGCAAGCGGGGGATGGCAGAAGGGGAAAGGATATAATCTGGACACTAGGAAGCTTAATTTATAACCTGAGATTGGCTATTCTAACTACTTACCAGAGGATGTATTATTATCTGAATGTGACCAGAAATCTCAAGGAACTGAGTTTTCCATTAGGGGTAAAGAAATGACTAGCCCTATCCAGTACATTTAAAGGGAAAAGTAAAAACAGTTATTTTCTGATTATACCTTATTTGTGGGCTTGGTCAAAATATTAAGTAACCCTGGGATCTCTTAGAAGGTGCTGACCCCCTCTCATCATAGTGCCTGGCCATCCATCACCAGATGGTGCCTTGCTTTGGGTATTGAAATGGTCTCGCAAATTACTGAGTTATTTTTTCAGCTAAAAGGGCATATGCTTTATTCTCATAAGTCAGTACGGACCTCAAGAGACTAAAACCTTCATGATGTATTTTCAGACACAAAGTCAGCCTCACTCCTCTCTCTCCTGGGGCTTAGAGTGAGATATAAAAGCAGCAGGAATGAACTCACTTTAGGAGATAGAAGAATGTGCTGTTCTGTGGTATCTCTCATCTGACTCTCTTCTGGTGAGTCCTGAAACTCTATGGGGGTAAGCTAGATGACTCTCCTGAATTCTGCTCCAAGAAAGGGTTAAATTAGGACAGGGGTAGGACAAGGGTAGGACAAAGAAGAGACTGGGTGGAGGTTATCTGATAGCAGCATTTTGGAGTGATCAGAGCAGGTGGAAAGGTCCCTCATCTTGGGGTTCTTGTTTGGAAACTGCCACTGACTGATTCTGTAACTATCTGGCTAGCTCAGGGTTCCAGAGTCAATTCCTTGGAATCAGGCCTTCTATGATTTATTAACATTGTTGCAAGGTCAGGAAGGAAAGTGCGACTCAGAACACAGGAAAGGTTCAGAAATCCAGGAGCAAAGTGGTCACAACCTATTATTCCTTGACTCGAACTAACAGCTGAGCCAGGACATGAGGTCAAACTGTCTTATCTTATAAATTTTGAGATAAAATATATAAAAGTCCCCCAGGAGATTAAAAGATTTGAAGAAATCAGTTAGCCATAAACTTTACATGAACCATAAATAGCTAAGCATTTATCTTACTATTCATGATGCAGATTAAAACCCATGGTCTTTAGAGCAGCCTCTCTACACATCCCTCCAACCCCATGTCTACCTTATTTTGCTTGTTTTCAACATCCTTAGCAAATCTTCTTCGGCATTCTTTGTTTGACCAAGAAATAAAAAGTAAAATAATAGAACGTCAGAGCCATAAAGGATCTTAGACTATGTGGACCCATCTGTAATAGTGTCAACAATAAAAAACAAAGAGTATGTCCTTGAAAATATTCCATATAAATAAGAGGTCACTGAAAGAATTCATTTTTGCAGGCTCATACAACCAGGGCATGTCAGTGCCAAGGTGAAACCCCAGGCCTCCTGATCCCTAGCCCAGGGCCCGTTTCCCTAAACCACTCTGGTTCCTATGTGACTTCAGTTAAAGGAAAGTTTCCAGATTCCAAAAGAAATATAGTCCAGCATTGGACACAATTACTTTTTGCATCATTGCCTCCACATTTATCTGACTTTAGCATTTCCTTTGTTCAAGGGCACCTAAGATATATCTCCATTTAGAAATAGGTGCCTGTATTTTCCTTTTCAACTTCTCCAACACTTTAATGATGCCTCAAAGATCTCAGGAAAATATTAGAGAATTTTAAGGATCTTTTTAAAATGGAGATTTTTATTACCTACTTGCCATGTGCAACAAGGCAAGCTCACCTCAGTGGGCTTCAGTGTCCACATCTGTCCAGGATAAAATGAGTAACTGGCTGCAAAGTCTCTTCAGATTGTCTAGGAAATAGCATGTACGCAATAAGAATATTAAGTATAGTTTTTTCTCACTGTGTTCTTTTCTTCATATACAGCCAGAAGGTCAATGGCCATTGGGAATGACAGGTAGCCTTTTTGCTATAAATACTAAAATTCAGGCTTTCATACCCAGAACGACTCTGGCCTTGCCCTCACAGAATGCTGCTTTTACCGAAGCCTATTTTCTTATCCCTTCTCTTTATGTTCCCTTTATATGAGTTCAGTTCTCTTCTGTTTTCTCTGATCACCTCTGCGATGCACTATATAAAAAGTGGGAATTGTAGTCAGGTGTGGGAGATAAGAAACGAAAAGGGTCGGTCAGTGCTGGATCCTGAGGAGTCACAGTTCTGGACGGGAGACAGGCATGCACAGGCTGAGCTCCTGGACCAGAAGAAATGTGATCCATCACACGGAGAAGTGGTCACTGACTTTGTGGGAACCACAGGAAGATCCGGGTTCTCTACAACCAGAGAAATCCCAGGAAGGTGTTCTGGAGCTGCGTCACATCCCGTCTCTGTGGCTTTCAGATACCTGGGGCTCCCAGGTCCCCCTCTTCCTCCAGGCCCATCAAAAGGAATCTGAGATCATGCTGTGGCCTGGCCTTGTTAGAGGCTGGAGAGGAAGGGGAAGGGAAAATAGTGGTATGTGTTTCTGGAACTCTTCTTCCAAAAGAAGGTGCTTCATAAGCCTGACATGTCTGCCAGGTGAAAAGCCTTCTGGCCTCTCTATCGCCATTCATGATGAGTGAATGAACATGAAAGGGGTTCCAAAACATTAGAATGATAGAGGAATAGCATCCATTATTTAATAATCACTCTCACAAGGAAATGGTTGTGAGTGAGCCTCCAGGAAATGAGTGTGTAATATGTATAAGGAAAACTGTGAGTAAATCCCCAAGGGGAGAAAAAGGTGCTGCAATGTGGGTGAGTTAGTAAGAGTGAGCATGTGGAAATCTACAAATATGCAGGTGTTGTGTTGTGTGAGTGTATAAACCTATGCATAACATGAGTGTTATGCATATTTAAATGCTACATATATGTCAGTGTGGACAGAGCATGACAGGGTGCGTGCATGTCCAAGAGTATACAGGTCAGGGGGCGGTGTGCGCATATATTCGTATAATACGAGTAAGATGGTGAGAGACTGAGAGCTGTCGGTGTTTCGTAAGAGTATGAATGGGATCCAGTATAAGGCTGGTGTGGAGGGTCCTGAATGTGTCTGTGTGAATAATGGACCTTTAGAGAGTATATATGACTGTAAAAATCTGTATTTGGAACAATGGCCTTCCACAGGCTGCCTGTTAGTGTACCTATAGAAATATTGAGGGAAGAATTCATACACTTTTAAAAAGCATGAACAGCTTTGCGCCTTTGCAGAAACATATGGCTTCTTTGTTGCTTTTATTTTGCAGCAACTCTGACAATGAAAAGCTCATGTCCACAGCCCACTCCCTTCCCCTCCCTGACCAAGCACACATACGTCAAACTAGCTCTGGGGAATGCTCTTATTAATCAGTGACATATCTGAATGAAACAACATTTTCAAGGGTAGATTTAAATAAATACTTCCAAGAGCTATTGATAATTCAAATTCTTGGTGTCTTTTTATAATAATGATCCATAAATTATAGCTTAAACATTTCTATTCAATAGTGCTTCTAAAACACATTAAAATTGTGAAAAATATAGTTTAAATATTTTCCTAGTAACTAACTGATATTTTTGAAGTATTTGTCAATGTCTTTCTTCTTCCATTAAACAGATGGAAATAGTAGCCCAACTTGTGTGGCCAGATGACCATAAAATATAAAGCAAGGATGTTTGCACGCATTTTCCCCAAAGCAGTGATTTCATGAATGCATCCATTTCCAATTGAATAGACGTCATCTGCTGTGTCTTTCACTCCTTGGTTTCTCCAGTAAGTGCAACTCTCAGAAATCTCCAACTCATAAGGTCTCACCCTGAAGAGTATCCTGCTTCCTCCTGCCATGGGATTGTTCAATGTCACTCACCCTGCTTCCTTCCTGCTGACCGGTATCCCTGGTCTGGAGAACTCTCACCCCTGGCTAGCAGGGCCCCTCTGTGTGATGTACGCTGTGGCCCTTGGGGGCAACTCAGTGGTCCTGCAGGCTGTGAGAGTGGAGCCCAGCCTCCACAAGCCCATGTACTACCTTCTGTCCATGCTGTCCTTCAGTGATGTGGCTATGTCCATGGCCACCCTGCCCACTGTGCTCAGAACCTTCTGCCTCAATGCCCGCAACATTGCTTTTGATGCCTGCCTAATCCAGATGTTTCTCATTCATTCCTTCTCCATGATGGAGTCGGGTATTCTCCTGGCCATGAGCTTTGACCGCTATGTGGCCATTTGTGACCCCTTGCATTATGCCACGGTGCTCACCAATGGAGTCATTACTGGAATGGGTGTAGCTGTGACTGCGAGGAGCTTCATCACCCTCTTTCCTCTTCCCTTCCTCATCATGAGGCTGCCCATCTGCAGATCCAATGTTCTTTCCCACTCCTACTGCCTGCACCCAGACATGATGAAGCTGGCCTGCGCTGATATCACTATCAACAGCATCTATGGACTCTTTGTTCTTGTATCCACCTTTGGCATGGATCTGTTTTCCATCTTCCTCTCTTATGTGCTCATTCTGCGCTCTGTTATGGCCATTGCTTCCCATGAGGAACGCCTCAAAGCCCTCAACACCTGTGTGTCGCATATTCTGGCTGTACTTGCATTTTATGTGCCAATGATTGGGGTCTCCGCAGTGCACCGCTTTGGGAAGCACGTTCCTCGCTACGTGCATGTCCTCATGTCCAATGTCTACCTTTTTGTACCTCCTCTGCTCAACCCTCTCATTTACAGCGCCAAAACGAGGGAGATCCGCCAAGCCATCGTCCGCATGTTTCGCCGCATCAAAATGTGACTTTCATGTTTGGCTCTAAAATCCGATATTTATTGTAACTGTAGGCTGTCATCTATAGTATCATCGTGATTGTTGTCATCATCATGATGTCATCATGAAGAGTAAGATAGATATGTGTACTAGAAGAAAAGTAAAAGATCATAAAATGAAGAGACAAAACTAGTAGCACATGACAAAAGTAGTACATTCGGCAAATATTAATGGCATTGTTAGAAAGATAAATAGAGGCAATTCAGTGATTAGACAAAGTTTTATAGAGAAAAATTAATCCAAGCTAAGGATCATTATTTTCTACAACAATAAATATTACTAATATAATAATAATTAATACAGTGAGTCTTTAAAGTGCCAGGTTCTGTTCTGTTCTAAATATTTATGTGCATTAACTCACTTATTCTTCATAACAGTCCTATGGGTACAGGGAATTAAGTTAACTGTTTAGGGTAACGCCTACAATATGTCATTCAGGTGAGATTCATTACTGGTCTGGCTCCAGTATCGGACCGAAGCATTACAAATACTGCCTCTCGGTCTAACAGCATCACTGTTAACATTACCTTTGCTCTCCTTGCTTTCACCACCATTTTCACTCCCCAAAGTTCATGAGCTGTTTTAACTTCACACATGAAATTTTAGGTACTGCCAGAACTTGCCATAAGATATATGGGCAAATATGGTCCAGGAAAACTGATAGAGTTGGCATCTAGAAAAAGCTCTATCTACCCACCATGTAATCATCCCCCAAGAAAAGCAATGCTGAGTATATGAACAATAAACTTTTTTTTATATTGTACTAGACAAGTGATTTCTCTTTCTCTTCACTTTCTGGGATTTTAATTTGCTTCCACACAGTGACATGATAATAGATGTTATAAATAATATCCTTCTAGAATTTCCAGCTACAAAAAGGGATAGGCTGAAGAGAGCATTGATGATTTGGACATTAGCAAATAATTCTTTCAAACTTTCTTTTAAGTTGATTTTCCTTACATACTCTTTCTTTGGTATCAGAGAAGTAGGATTTAATAAGAAATCTCTTGGCCTGAGTTTAGTGGTCTCAAACTAAATTTGAGCTTAATTCTAGACTAAAATAAAGGAGATGCCCTATAGAGTTTAACCTAACTCACCAGCAAAACTGGGCCAGAGAGCTGATACCAACAGAGCATACAGTCATCTAGAGTTTTTATCTCTGTACAGTGCTCTACTGAGAAAATACCAAGAAGGAACAAGTGCCAGAGGGAAGGAACTATTTCTGAATGGAGATAATTTAAATATTTGAGATCCAGTGTTTCCCTCAAACGTTCATAAGTTCAATAAGAGACTCACAATATATGTGCTGTTGTCTGCTAAATAAATAATTTTCAGAGGCATGATTGAATAACATAACTCAGTATAATTTTATATGAAAAATAATTAAGGTATTTGAGGTCTAAAGTCTTGTCAGTTTAAATAATGATCTTTCTAATTCATGCAAGAAACTCTTTTATTGCAGCATCAAATAATAATAACTTATAATACCTTGAGAGTTCAGTTTTAAATGAATATATAGATGCAAAGGCACCACTTGGGAAAGCTACTATATGGAAGTGAGGGAAGCACTTACTGAGTCCCCTCCCAAGGAGAGAAGGGAAGATATCCTTGTGACCACAGGTCAAACTTTGAAACCCAATGTTATAACAGAAAAAAAACAAGGACATGGTAATATGAACCTCCTACAAGATCCTCTGGCTCCTCTCTACTTTATTTCCTTTCTTTTTGCTCCATCATTAATTAGAAATGCTGTTTGTCTATGGAGGATAAGGGGAAACATTTTTAGGTTTTGTCTCTTCTTATGAGGCAGATGCCATAGAAAATTTAGGGCCATTCCTGCAATTTCCATTTTAAGAAGGTCTCAAATAAGTCCTGTTTTTCAGTCTTAAGTAAAAACTCTCTTTTAACTCCTTTTATTTAACAAGATTTTCTTTGAAGTCAACATTTTTCCATATTGATAGTAAAATACTTAAACTTTGGCCTAGTATAAAGGAGAAAATAAATTCTTATACTTCCTTTATTTTGAGCCTCTTAGGCCTACCTCTAACCTAAGAAAATGACATGCTGAACATGGTTCAGCTAGGAGTTATGGTACGATAGAATTCTTGATCTCTGTGCCTCATAGTAAGACTCATGGAAAAGTTAATATAAATGGAATGTGATAAAAAATTGAAAAAACTCAAATCTATATTATGTGGACTTGTATGAAATTAGTTTCAGTGCAAGCCCAGGAATCAGGAGAACCTTCAGAAATGAGAGCGTGGTAGAAGAGGGTAACAAACAGGCCCCTGGGCATGGCTGACCATTAATCTTACTTTCTGTATACCACAAAGGTCCATCCCTATCTCATGAAGCCTGTTTTTGAAAGAATAAATAGAAACATAACAGCTCATTATTTATTTATTCACTCAACAGTATTTATTGAAACCTAAAATATGGCAGGCACCTTATTAGGTCTGAGGGCTCAGTGACCCGACAGATGGAAGGGGTATGTCAAAGCCTCTGGAGATGTGTTTAATAACTACATATTTCTCTTCAGTACCCCTTACAAAGCTATGTCATGTTTTGAGTGGGTGCATTGCATGGGGGAGTGTTACTGCTGGAAATACAGTAATAGTTCATTTGTACTGTGTAAAGGCTGGGTATTTAAGATAAACATCCTATATTACTGGGCTAGGAGAAATAAGCTTCCTGCACGGCAATCAGCATTTTTACAATAAAAGATAGACTATAAACATCCATGGATCAGAATCAACTTTAATTATTAGTTTCAACAGTGACAGACACAAATCCTTCTATAAATTTTAAACAGTTTATAACTGATAGATGAGTGGCTTTTTCTATATTTGACATGACGTTATGAAAATAAAATCTTTTGTGTAATAGTAATATTAAAAATCTGACAGTCAGCAATTTAATAAATAAATCCTTGACGAGTGTAGAAGGGGCAAGCAAAATAAACCTGAAATTCAAATAAAGAAATTCCTCCTAAACAAATTCAAAACCTTCTGTAACTGGATTAGAGACACTAGACTAGAAATATTTCCCATGTCAATTACTCTGCTTAGATATGGAGATTGATGGCGACATTCAATAGGAAATACCATTTAACATTTAGAATCCAAATACCTACAAGAACATTTTTACAAATAAAGTAGAAAAATAAGTTTAGGGTTATTAGGGAAAAGGAGACATAAGACACAACTCTGGTATAAATTGGACAATCGAGCACTATTTCTAAACCAATTCTAATTTATATTCGATGTAATTTCTTAAAGAATCCTCTTTGCCTTCAGTTCATACAAAAATATTATAAACAGATTTATAATTTATCATTTACTTAAATCTCAGCACACTACTTGAATACTATTTGACCAGTTTGAACAAATACAATTTACCTCAGAAAGAAAAAAATTTTATTTCTAAGTCTGTTAATTAAAAAATTGGTGAATATTTTTAGACAGTAATAAAACATATATATACATACATATGTATAATGAATTATTTTTCCATATCAATAAAATAACAGCCTTTCATTTTCTGTCCCCTCAACATATTTCTCTATAATGTATAGTCAATATAAACAGGTTATATGTACTGTGGGCGGAGGAGGGAGGGGAATGTGCACACACCCCAGTAGTCCTTACCCAACTAGCACTGGAGGGTAAGTCCTTCTGTAACACTGAAAGAAATTTCTATCACAGTTTTGTGCAGTGATTCCTTATTTATTCAGTTGAATAGGTATTTAACTGATGAGACACACAAGGAAACATCCCCCAACGTCACATGCTCTTTGTTATCAGGAACCTGGCTCAACCATCTCCACATCCCCAGTGCTTGGCACATAGCTAGCCCCATATTACTCATCCCATGTACATTTGCCAAGTGAGTCAATAAGGGATCACTGCACAAAACGCTGATAGAAATAGTTACCATGCCACACTGGTACTCACTCTTCCCATCCTCACGCCTTGTTCTGTGACTTCTCAATTCTGTAATTCAGATGGAGATGTATTTTCTAATAAGCCAAAAAAAATACTGAAGTCAGCTATGTGGTTTCTAATATTCAGGTACAGATACTGAAGCATGAGGATATAAAAATATTTCTTTTAAAAGAAGAAGGAAGGTTCCCATTGGAAGCATGACTTTAAGGGCTGTGGGTCAATCTTTGTCCTTGATTTTTTTTTTTCCCTTTTATAGTTTCTTAAAACTGTGTACAGGGTTAGTTTTTGTCCCCACACATAATGAAGGATGGTTTTCCCCGGTGACTGGGAAAAGGAGCCTCTGGACTGGGCGACGATGGCAGGGTAGCTTTGCCAGCTTTGCAGCTTTAGGGCTCCCTCTGGTTGTGTGAATATTCAAAGTAGCACCACTTGAGGCCACTCTGTCTCAGAGCTAAGTCCGTTTGGTGAGGACGCCTGGCTCCTCCTCCTGCACTAGCCCGANTGGACTGGGCGACGATGGCAGGGTAGCTTTGCCAGCTTTGCAGCTTTAGGGCTCCCTCTGGTTGTGTGAATATTCAAAGTAGCACCACTTGAGGCCACTCTGTCTCAGAGCTAAGTCCGTTTGGTGAGGACGCCTGGCTCCTCCTCGGAGCTCTGCAGGCCTTTCCTCTGAGCAATACAAGCAGCCCGAGGAGTTTACGCAGCTGCAGCAGCGTTTTCTTTCATCTGCTTCCCCTATAGCCTCTTCCCCTGTCAGCAGAAACTCCTTTCTCTCTTACCCGAGGGATCTTTACCTGTCTCGTGTGGTTTCCTTCAGGCTGAGGGTATCGCCTATCAGAAAAGCTTCTGTGCTGAACGTTTCTGAGGTTCTCAAGCGCTTAGCGCCACGGCTGCCTGGCCTGATCCACTCAAGTGCAAGAGGACTTGGACCTGGTAAAGGCTGTTCCCCATTTCACCAGTCAATCTCAAAACCGTCTCCCCAGGTTCCAGTTTAGGGTACAGTCCTCTCCTATTGGAGGTGAAGGTTGAGATTTGTTGTCGTTTTAGTTTAAATTTGTTGTAGAAGTAAGTTT